TAGGTGACTTGACATCGCATGCACAATTTTACGACATAAGATGGTAGTAGAAGGTGCTAAGAAGGACCTAACGTACACAGAATTATTCAGTAAATAGTGATAAATAAATTTTAAATACATCACAGTCTATAGATGGTCAGTCGCTGATAGCTCAGTAGTAACGTCTCTAAATATGAAACAGAGTGACAAGTGATGGAACCCACAGGGAAGCATCATTTTCCTTACCTTGTTGACGAGTAGCAAATAGCACAAGACTTAGGTCTAGTGTTTTCTGTCAAACACCTCCGACCACCACCCTATATTTCGACTAGTTTACCAATAAGTTCGTGTACAAATATTCTAAGCATAAATATTTGGTAAATCAGTAGTTTGTACTGATATATAAATGATTTATAAACGTTTTTTTCATCTGTTCTAATTTTCTTCCTGGAAAATGATAAGGGTCATTAGAACAAAAACCTGGTTTAGTTATGATATGAAGTTCATCAAATATTGTACTGTAATGAATGAGAACACGAGTGGGGACAACCGAATGTATTTAAGCACAAATTACAGACTATCTTACTAAATTCTGTTAACTATACAGCAAACAGGTAATTTGCAAAATAACAACCCATTGTCTCAGTCTTCACTGTTCCTTCTGTAAATATCAGTCCTTTTTCTCTGATTTCATTGTTCATGCATTTTCGTACCGAATGCGCTTCATGTTTGTTCGTTCCTTATCGGTCTTCTGCCAAAATACATTCTATGTTTAACCCTCACCATATACTACTTATATGGATATAAGTAGACCACAGTACTACCAAAAACCGTTTAACTATTTGTCATTTTATTTAAAAAGTTGGTCAAACTATTGTATTTATCTACGCTTATTTTTTAGAAATTTAAGATAATTTTTGTGTAAACAATCAAACGACTTTTTACAACTTGAAACTCAAGTACTTCTTATCAGTTTTTTTATGTGATAAACATTACTCGAATCACTTGTATCAAAAGATCCTTCATAAACAAAAGTGATCTTAAGAATTCATTCACTGGAAGATTAATAATTATCTATGCTGAAACTAGTTTTAGGAACTGTTTAATTGTTAGGCTTTCGTTAAATGAATGATATTGAATATATGATGTATATACTTGATTACAGATATTCCAACAAATGATCTAATTTCGTTTGTTTTATTACATCATTATGAGATAACAACTCACTGAAGGCAATTGGTGAAGTGTCGCTCATAATTCGTGGATCAGTTGAAGTTAGACATTAACACCGTTGGGTGCCGGCTCAGTGGTCTATCGGTTGAGGGCTCTGGCTCATAACTGGTAGGTTTCTGGTTCGGATCTCGCGAGTGCGGGATCGTGGGTGCGCACTGCTGAGGAGTCCCACAATAGAACGAGTTTGTTGTCCAGTGCTTCCAGGTTTTCGATGGTGGTCTAGCTTCAATTGACTAATGATTTCAACTTTGAAATATACTGAAATCTCCACAAATCCCCTTCTGATCATTATGGATATTAAACGTATAACCTATTCAGATGCGTTTTTGAAAAGTGTACAACCTTTCGTTGTACACGTTACTAAATTCTCAATCAGAGATATCGTGATTACTGATAATATGCAGAGAAAAGAATGTATATTACGTAGATGTCTACGGACTGGACTGGTAAATTCTAACTGGAAACCACTGAATATTTACTGTAATTTTGTTAATCTAATTGTGATTTGCATCAGCTTTAATTAGCATTACAAAAAAACAGTTTAATAATAAATATATTCTTTAAATTCATTCAGTATTGTTTGTTTGAATCTTCCCAAAATAAGATCAGTAGACGTCATAAGTTAAATCTCAAAATGATCATCAATATTTATGTAAACAGAAATAACAGTAAGCAGGAATGGATAGTGGCTAGCAGTGAAATACAGGATGCGCGTTTCGTCCTATTTGGGACTCGTCAGCTGGATGTACCTTCATCTCAGAGTTGATGTTCACTCCAACCAGGACTCGAACACAGTACCCTCGCTTCAAACGCCATCGCGTTATCCACTCGGCCACTGAGTCCTGATAGCCACTTGCTTGCGCGATGGGGTGTAGTTTAAATTCACTTAGTATTATTTGTTTGAATCTTCCCATCGATGTGTTAGGACTGCAAGTGGTCAGTTTCTAATTGGCATATGTGCATATTGTGCGTATTGCCTCAATATAGCCTTAATTCACAAACATGGCAAGCAGAGATGGATAGTGGTTAGCAGTGGAATCCAGGACGCGCATTTCGTCCTATTTGGGACTCGTCAGCTGGATGTACCTGCATCTCAGATATATTCTTTGTTATACCCTAATGGATAGAAGAGTGGTATTTTCGGTGTTTCGTGACTTAATGTGAGTTACTTCTTCAGGGAAAATAATCAACCGGTTTCAATTAAATATTCACCTAATGCTTAATATATTTCAAACTATCAAATTCAATCTTGATATTGATACCTGTAAAGAAAAATGATTATTTTGATTGGTTGGGTATATATAACTCTAATTTTGGTAGTCATTTAGTACCCACATAAAGTGATATCAAAACTCTATGTAAACAAAAATCAGGCAATATTCATTATCTTACAAATACACTGTTGTAAACATAGGTAGGCGTTTTATTGTGAAATTTTTCAAAGAGAATCTAAGATATTACTAATTAATTTACTTCATTCTATCAATTTGTCAGATTATTTAGGAATCAATGTTTTACATTTATTTGGTACAGTTTTCTTAACAAGAAATAATCATCTAAGGAACACTTTACCTAATGGTGATCATTTTTGATTAGACGGCTTAGAATGTACTTTCAGTCAAAACATACATGTTTGTTAGTGTATTTAATAAGAATACATAGAGGTAACTAACCTAATTTGCGGTTGCCTGATCTGCCAAGGACGATGAGACAGTGAATGACGGTATTGTTGTGTGCTAGGTTCAAAGAGAATTGTATGCTATTTGCATGCAAATCCAAACCATTATTCTTCCTGTTGTTCTAACGTGTTTGTTAGTGTATTGAATAAGAATACATCAGTAAATTATTTAAAGAAACATCAATGAGAATTACATAATTTACGCCTCAAACTATTGCAATATCAATTATTTTAACATGAATTGTAAATAATATCATTGAATTCAATAAACCGTTGGATGCTGACTCAGTAGTCTAGTGTATAAGCGCTCGTGCGCGAAACTAATAAGTCCTGGGTTCGAATATTGAGAGGCGGAATTGTGAATGCGCACTGACACTGAAGAGTCTTACAATAGGACGAAATGGTCGTCCAGTGCTTTCTAAGGTCGTCTAACTTCAATTGGCTCATGATCTCAACTATTAAAATTAAATAAAATTGTTGATAGAATATTCAATTTATTCTTTTTAAAGTCAGTATTATTTTATTTTGTTTTAATTTGTCTAAAATAGAATTATAAATGGATTGTATAGTATGGTAATCTGTTTTATAAGATTTATTGTTGTATTGCATGATTTAACAAAAGGGGTGTTCAATTTTTACTTTATTTATGTCAATTTATTTAGATTTTAAAATCGTTTTCGTTTGTTTGTTTGTTTAAAATTACACAAAAATTAAATTAAAAAAAGAAAGAAACGATACTGGATATTCAATGATTTGTTGAATTTTATAATACGATTGAATTCATGAGTCAATGTATGTTAGATCATCACTGAAAACCTGAAAGTGTTGAACAGCCATTTCGTATATAGTATAAGATTTCTCAACAATGCTCATTTATATATCGTGCATATGGGACTTGAATCAAGGACCTTCGATCTCAAACGCCAAATGTTCAACCTCTAGACCAATGAGCTAAAGGATTATTTACTAAAAGAATAAATATATGGTAACTTTTGATGTACATCCGATTATATGTATTAAAATAGTATTCTTGACTTGGTTGACTGAAATTATTGATTGTGAAAAATTATTCAATAATAAGTAGCAATCAAAGGTTGCTGTTTATATTACTTACTCATTTGATAAAATATTTTCACATTATTATCCTATTACTGTTAAAATTAAGCCAACTGGTTGAATAGAAGAAAGGCAAAATGCAACAAATACTAATGATAAACTATTATTACCAATGTCTATCTACGGTTTATATTATCACAAACATGTTCATTACTTACACCTTTTGTTGTATATCTGCAAACTGATCATTTATCAACGCTGTACATGGTCCTTTATGTTATGGGGTACTGTTTCTCGGTAACTTCCTTATTCACATTACATTACATGTGTTTTACAAAACTTTTGCTAAAATCTCAAGCATTTACGTACAACAAATACTGAAATATAATGGGTCTTTACATAATAGATATTTTCAGTGGTCAAAGTTTTAATAGTATTTTCAGCCTTATGGTTCCGATAATTTTATTCTTATCAAACAATGAACAGTCTTAGAAAACTGCGCATGTAAAGTTTATCGGTAGATAGCTAACCACTGGTCTCCATTTATACTGATATAAAATATCTGAGACATTTGTGTCAACTTGACTGAATAAAAAATACAAGATTTGATCAAGGTAACTATCTATATTTACCTCTCAATCTCTAGACGGCCACTTCGTTTTAGTATGACACTCCTTAGTAGTGAGCACCCACGATCTCGCAGGCCACGCTCGAACCCAAGACCTTTGGATCCGCCCGTCCGCTGCTTCATTTGTGGAGTAACATTGATTCAATCATGATATCACTCTAAACTCAACAATCTCCACAACTCTATACTGAAAATTTAATTTTAATTTTTATAAATTTTATACACCTTAAAATACATGATCAGTTGCAGTTTTCTTCGGAAGCCATAACACTTAATCACTAATGTTTACTAACGAATAAAAATCCAGAATTACTTTTAAACAACTCATTTAACATTTAACATATATCGTTGAAATCAATTAGTCAATTGAAGCTAGACTACCATGGAAAACCTGAAAGCACTGGACTACCATTTCGTCCTATTGTGGAACTCCTCAGTATTCGTAAAAACAAAAAAAGAATATCTTCTGATTTCTATAATGTATAATAATGAATTAACATTTATGTTTATATAAACATGTACATTAACAATCATATGTCACTTGTATGTTATTATTTACAATTCATTAAGATATAATGGACAAAGATGTTGAAAAAGCAAAAGTATAATAATACAATACATCTCCCTAATCAAATTTCAATACAAGGAATGTATAGATACAAATGTAATACAAATCAATTCACTTAGCAACAAGATTCAATTGTCTAGCAACTATATTGTATAATTGGTAACTTGATTTCCATTCATCATTTATAAACATTTTAACTTTTGACATATTAGTAATTGTATATCTGTTCGAAAATTTCGATTCATAAAACCATATATAATTGGATTAATTGCATTATTTATATAATATAAATAAAATATTGGTAAATATAATGGTACATATTGTATTGCCATTAACATAGCTGGTATAAATGTAACAATATAAACAATAGCTACAACAAATAACATTGATGCAGTTTTTAAATTTTGAAATGTTATATTCTCTTTTATTGTTTTAATTGAACGATGTAATTTTTCTTCATTATTATTGATGATTAAATTTTTTTGATGATTTATGGAAATTGATTGATTAATTATTATTGATTCTGTATTGGATTTATTGATTAAATTATAAATTTTTTTAGTAACTATGGGATTTGATGTGATTGTTTGTTGTTGATCTTGTTGCTGTGGGGGGGAATTTAATTTTTCATTGATTTCTTCATTATTATTTTTGATTTCAGTAGTATTAGATGATACATATAATAATGGTTTAGTTGTTTCATTATATTTTGATATAGATGATATAGTATTATTATTATTATTATTGTTATATCCATGTTGATCTAATTCTTCAGTATGGGATAATAGATTTTCTTGATTAGATAATTTAAATTTTATTGGTGATTTTTGTATTTTCTTTGATTGAATATGAAAAGGATTTCTAAGGGTTAATTTATTGATTTTCTTTTTTTTATTATAGTGATCATTATTATTATTATTATTAGTTTTATTGATTTCTGAAGGATTTTTAGTTTGTTTTTTTATACCTTTTAATTCTAAACGTTTTTTAAAAACCTGAAAATTAAAATTAAAACATGAGAAAAAATATTTTAGATAATGTAAATTGAACAAGTGAACATCAACTGTGAAATGCAGGTACATCCAGTTGACGAGACTAAAATAGGACGAAACGCGCGTCAGACTGGATTCCACTGCTAGCTACTATCCATCTTTGCTTACCATGCTTATGAATTAAGGGTATATTAAGGCAATGCGCAGAGTATGTACATATGTCAATAAGAGACTGACCAGTTGCAGTCCTAAACATCAATGGGAAGATTCAAACAAACAATACTAAATTGAACAAGTAGTTTATATACATTGTTAATTTAAACAAAAAAGGATGTGGAATTTTAAATTCACTCGGTGTTATTGGGTTGAATCTTCCTATTGATATTTAGGATTGTAATTGATCAGTTTCTTCTTGGAAATATGTGCATACTGTGTGGACTGCCTCGATATTGCCTGAAGTCATAAGCTTTATAAACACTAGCCACTATCTAACTCTGTAGCTAAGTGAATAACGCGATGGCAAGTAAAGCGAACAATACTGAGTTGGAGTCCTAGAGTGAACATCAACTCTGAGAGGCAGGTACATCCAGCTGACGAGTCGAAAATAGGACGAAAGGCACGTCTTGGATTTCAATGCTAGCCACTATCCATATTTGTTTATAAAGATATGGCATTTTGTTCTTTCTTTTTCTTCGCAAATGATCAGTACTACTGATATGATTATATAGTTGAAAGCGAAACAGTCATAAGTTACGAATCACTGAATGAGTTATATTTGTAATATGTAAAAATTCCGTACGTTCTAAACAATAATTTATTCAGAAAGGGTTTTGTGGAGATTTCAATATTTCAAAGTTGAAATCATGAGTCGATTGAAGCTGGACCACCATACAAAACCTGGAAGCACTGGACGGCCGTTTCGTCCTATTATGAGACTCCTCAGCAGTGCGCATCCACGATCCCGCACCCGCGAGATTCGAACCCAGGACCCATCAGTTTCGAGCCGAAGCCCATAACCGATAGACCACTGAGCCGGCAACCAACGGTGTTAATGTCTAACTTCAACCAATCCACGAAGTTGAGCAACCGTCCACTATTGTCTTCAGTGAGTAACAGACCCGGTTGAACTCTAATGATCACTGCTTCTCACTAGAACTCCAAGAAATACCTCTTGAAGCCAGTCACTAGTGTGCATATGTTGATTAATATCATAAGGGATCTTTGTGAATATTATAGTAGTTTCGGTAATTGAGATCATGAATCAATTGAATTTAGACCATCATGGTAAACTTGAAAACATTGGAAATTGAACTCTTACTAGGACCAAAACGACCGTCCAGTGATTCCAGGTGGTATAATTCTAGTTGACTCACAAATTCAACCATTAAACTACTACAATCTCCAGAAAACTCCGTTTTTGATAATAATTTCTTTGAGCATTAGTTATTATTGTAAGTTTATTTTTTTTTATCAAGAACAAATAACAGGAATGTACAATGAATAAAATGACCCTCAAACAAACAAAAAAACAACAAATTAAGGTCTTTTATAATTTGACCTAATTCCGATGAATTTTGTTTAACCGCTTAAATGATCTGATTTTGTTTGATAATAATAATAATAAGCAAATAAATTAAAATTTGATCTATTTAAGGTGATATAATCAATCACTTATCATACATTTTATATCTTGATAGTTAAGTCAAATTATATATTGATTTCTGCAAAAACAAAAAACTGGAAAATTATGTTACCCATTAAAACCAGCTAGAATATGTAGATGGACAGACCTATGATGTCACCTTTCACTGTTGTTGTTCTGTTTGAGTCTGTTTCATTGTTCTTTATTTCGAAATGTAAATAAATTCAGTCATTCTGTAACAATAATCAAATCACTATTCAATATATAATTTGTAATTTTATTGAGTTGAGATCATGAGTCCATTGAAGCTAGACCATCATCGAAAACCTGGAAGCACTGGACGGCCGTTTAGTCCTATTATGGAACTCGTCAGTGTCAGTACGCATTCACGATCCCGCCACGCGAGATTCGAACCCAGGACCTACCAGTCTCACGTCAGAGCACTTAACCGATAGATGTTTCCTGGAGTTCTAGTGGGAAGCAGTGACCAGAGGAGTTCGACTACGTCTGTTGTGAGATATCAACTCGCTGAAGACAATTGGTGAACGGTCGCTCAAATTTCGTGGATTGGCCGAGGTTAGACATTAACAACGTTGGATGCCGGCTTAGTGGTCTATCGGTTACGTGCTCTGGCGTGAGACTGGTAGGTCCTGAGTTCGAATCTCTTGAGAAGGGATCTTGGATGCGCACTGACATTGAGGAGTGCCACAATAGGACGAAACGGCCGTCCAGTGCTTCCAGGTTTTCGATGGTGGTCTAGCTTCAATGGACTCATGATTTCATTTATAAAAATAATTGATAAATATCTACTTAGGAAATTTGTTGATAAGTTTATGTTACTGAGTAATAATCAATCATTGTACTCAAGTATTTTGTCAAGCATTGTATTTATGAACTCAATAATTTTAGTATAATTATTGGTTAGTAATTAAATTGTGATGTGAATTCACTGACAGTTTCTATAGTATCCATTAGAAAGTTGGTTAATACTTCAATGATAAGTCGTTCAAATTAAATAATTCAGTACGAACAAAAAGTGTCAAGATGCATTCTCAATGAAACAATACATAAATATTATTGTAGTTTAAGTGAAACATTAATTTGACTCGGAGACTGTGCTTCAAATCTAGTCTGGTTAATTGTTAAGTCATCGAATTTCGACACTCTTATTTCATGTTTGAAATTATGGTTGGACAGCAGATTAATAAACATAGCGTTCAGATTGAGGTACGTTTTCGCTGAAATACGATTGAAATCTCATTATACCGATGATAAGCAGATGGAATGGAAAGTTATTCTCTATGCACTAAGAAGAAATTAACTCCCAGATAGCTCAACAATAAGTTACTTTAATCATTCAAGATTTTCATGTTCTTGATGATCCAGATGGCGGGTATCACATAGGATGAAAAGCACATCCTGGATTTCACTATTAGTGACTATTCGTCTCTGCTTAAATATTATAACTGACATTGACATCAATAATGAATTGAAGCATGACACATTTCATAGTTTATTTCTTTTCAAGTATGATGGGAAGTAACAAAATGGTTTAAACCAACACGATAAGTTAATGTATACTAAGATTTCAGACATATTTGAATCTCATAACTCATTCGATTAGTCTATTGGTGGTAAAATAAAGTCTATAATTTTATCGCCTGCAGAAAAAGATTATCACATTATAAAATTTATAGCTGTTAGATCTAGAGCTTAGATTCTTGATACACAGCGTACAACTTGAGCACTCAAACGCTGGAACTCACCAAGTCGCAAATGAGAAGACAGAAGACCAGTGAAAGGAATGCTATTCCAAATAGTATCGAATATGATACAAAACTCTCAGGTATTTATAGTATTTAGTTAAAACGAAATCATCATTACAGTCATCCAATCCCCACACAGGGGTTCTAGCATTTGTCCAATAAGGAAGGTACACGTAGAGATTCCGGACTGTCATCCCAAAAGATGATTGAACGGAATATATTTGGCTCTTTCTGAGCTTCTTAGAGCATCCTCGAGTTACCCGTGTACCTTCCTCACAATAATCTTTGATGTTTTATTTTTTAATTTTGCACCTCATACTTCATTATTTCTATATTAAGGTGTAAATGAATATACTCTCATGGTAAATTATAATTTCAAAGTGTTAATTAACTAACTAGTGATAATTCTAAAGGTTAATAATATCGTGGACTTAATGCTTCCCAGCAAGTCAAAAACCAAAGTTAACCAGTATATACATGTTCTAGATAAAAATTGCATAAACTCGAAAAATTATTTGCATTATATGGTAGTTATACCATCGTAACTAGTTAAGCAGTGCTAAACGATATGTTTGAATTGATGGTTTAAGTCTACTCTATAGCTGGTATGTACAGATTTAAGAAAGTGATTGTTGGGTTTTAAAGTAAGAGTCAAACTGCAATGCTATTTATCGAATTCACTTAGTATTGTTTGTTTGAATCTTTCCATTGATGTTTAGGACTGCAACTGGTCAGTCTCTAATTTTCATATGTGTATACTGTGTGTATTACCTAGATATAGCATAAATTCACAAGCATGGTAAGGAAAGATGGATAGTAGCTAGCAGTGGAATCCAGTCTGACGCGCGTTTCGTCCTATTCGGGACACGTCAGCTGGATGTACCTGCATTTCAGATTTGATGTTCACTCGGGGACTCGGGGTACTGGGTTCGAGTCCCCGAGTGAACATCAAATCTTAAATGCAGGTACATCCAGCTGACATGTCCCGAATAGGACGAAACGCGCGTCAGACTGGATTCCACTGCTAGCCACTATCCATCTTTGAAAGTTATCAAATGTCTCATGAATGCATTTAAATCAAACATTTATGCATAGTTCGTTACTGCAAAATGTCTTACCAGGTGTTATAAGAAAACATGAAGGATATGTAGAATCCTTTTTTCAAAGAACTTCAATCTGCTAGATCTAAAAACGTGCGTTGAGCGCTTAGAATTGTTCCGAATCGTCAAGCAGATAAAATGAAGCAATTTGAATTCACCAGACATTGACCTGATGGACTTTTTTGGTTTGAATAAATAGTATAACTTATCAAAAGTAATGCCGATTATATATGATTTCTATAAATACATCCCCAAGTAATCTGTTCATCATTCACCTTTGGTAATACGTATTCTTTACCAATAATAGTAGGTATACTTGATACCAAAGGAAATATTTTATATAACTGATAAATTAACTTGCATGTTTTTTATTTAGACATTAGGAATAAAATTTAAGCGAATGAAGTATTCTTTCATTTAACTTCCTCCTATGTTTAGACAAAAAGTTACCGCCTAATATTTAAATGTAGGGATAATCTCCAAGTGTCAAACCTGGATATCATCAGCAACAGCTGAAGTGGAAATAGGGAAAATTCGATGGAGGTGGATAGAACATATATTACGCAAATCATCAAACTGAATCACGAGGTAAGCCCTAACTTTGAATTTTGAAAAGAAACGGAAAACTGTTGGACCAAAGAACACACCACGTCGAGAATTGGAAGCAAACATGAAAAGGATGAATAGCAAATGGAAAGAACTGGAAAGGATTGCTCAAGACATAGTTGGATGGAGAATGCTGGTGAATAGCCTTTGCTCCTCCATGATGGGTATCAACTGTAAGTAAGTAAGTAAATAAGTGTCAAACGTTTCATAATTAGGATTGATTGAATATGAATGAAAATGTAAAATGTGTATTCTGTGGTTTGAATTTGAATCAATTATACTTATTGGTTACTTAAAAATAATGGGCGAAACCATGAATTCAGATTTATGGATGTGTTAGTTGGTGAAAATGATTGAATAAATAATAATGTAATCAGTACGTAACATTAAGTTTGAATTAATCACTTGAAAGACTTGTTTATCAATTAAACAGAAGAAAATGAAAAACTGCGCTTTAAATGAGTTAAATGGTAAGGGAACAGACAGAAACCTTACACATGCTTTTTCGGATGCAAGTATTAGATTTACTTATATCAATTCCGTTGAATAATTCTATGTTCATTGGGTAACATCTTGTAGCATAAGCTATGTTGGATAGGATTCATAATGACCTACTGATGATGAACAAAGCGTTTTTGATAGTTCTTTTTAAATCATTTACTCGACCACAAATGATGATGGTCCAAAATATGATCTCGAACCTATTTCTTGGTTTACTTAATCTAACTAGTTCAACTGGCTTAAAAGAACTAATAAAAGTAACGTAAATATAACTTTTTTTCAGTTTCAAATCAACATGCTTAATTACGTGTAATTCAACAGCTATCTAAAAATATCTAACATGAATCATCGATTATCAAATAATATTCTACAGAAAATAACTTTCTGTAACGATTTTCTGAGTAATCCAACAAAAGTATCTTCGATATTACTTAGGAATCATGTATATCATGATAGTACTTACTTCAGCTACATAAAAACACCTATATTTCATCAGGTTCCAGTTGGTAACATTAAGGTGAAACAACCTTTGTAGATAAACAGTACTTAAAAGAATCCATAAATACCTCCAAATTTAACTTAGATAACTAAATTCAACTTATTGAAGTACAGCTCTTGATGGTAATTTAAAACTATTCCATAAAAGAAAACATTAGGTAGTATCGTAATTTTCAACATCATCAGTTGTTAGTTATTCATCTCATTCTTCTTCTATCTAGTTGTTTTGTTGTTGTTACGCCTGTTACTCCCAGTGTAGCATAAGCCACCGACCAGCATTCACCAACTCACTCTGTCGTCGTCCTTCCTTTCTAGTTCTGTCCAATTTTTTGTTCATTCTTCTCATGTCTCTCTCCATTTCTCGGAGTAATGTGTTCTTTGGTCTTCCTCTTCTCCTTTGGCCTTCGGGACTTCACGTGAGGGCTTGTGTTGTGACGCAGTTGGATGATTTTCTCTATATGTGTTCCATCCTCTTCCAGCGCTTCTTCCTGATTTCTCCTTCTTCTATCTAGTAATTACTACTATTTTATCAGAAATCCCGTTAATAATATATAACTATATAAAATGAAAGATTCATTACGACCAACTTGTAATCTTAGTTTCTACTTTTTTAAATCATGTGTTGTAATGTTATGTTTGTTTACTTTGTAGACAAAAAAATATAAACGTATTATATGATCAACATACTTTTATGATTGTAAACGTGTTTACTTTATTTGTTATCCAAAAAGCATGTTAAAACTTACCAAATAACTGGAACATACGTTAAATAATTTTTTTATCAGAAGGAGTTTTGTGGAGATTTCAGTATTTTCATAATTGAAATCATGAGTCAATTGAAGCTAGACCATCATGGAAAACCTGGAAGCACTGGACGGCCGTTTAATCCTAACTTAAGACTTCTCAGCAGTGCGCATCCACGATCCCGCCTCTCGAGATTTAAACCCAGGACATACCAGTCTCGTATAAGAGCGCTTAACCACTAGTGAGAAGCAGTGACCAGTGGAGTTCAACCACGTCTATTAGGAGATATCAACTCACTGAAGACAAGTAGTGAACGCTTGCTCAACTTCATGAATTTTTTTGATATTTTATTCCATACTTTTTTATATATATTGATTAGATATATTGAGAAAACTTTACCGCATATTTAACAGATGAAAAGAAAATGAATAAACGGTAAAATTCCAAGCTTTAAAGTTTTTTCGATATTTGCCATATTGTGTAATTTAGAAATAAACAATGTTTAAAAAATGGAATACACGTATAACTGACAACCGCATAAGTAATGGAGTAGTAGACTATCATATCTCATAGAAAGTATGGTACAAATAGACTCTATGGTTAGATTTAATTAGCATTACTTTATTGATTCAATAGCTGTAGATTTATGACTGAGATAACTGATTTTTCCGTTTATAGTTATCACCTTACCAGACAGATCTTAGGTTCTTAGGTAAAGTCATGACTTCGTACCGCCGTATTGAAATCAAATGTCGTATTCAACACTTGACCTTCATGTATACTGATAATTCTAGTTCATAAATGATATTACATTGATCACCGATGAACGTTTACGAAATATAATAAAAAAAACACCAGCATAAATTAATTAGTTTCATACTTCATGATTGAATTTGATAAACTTAACATCTGTCCTATGGCTTTGAAAAGAGAACATAGTTTGCCAGTATACAAAAACAATCACTGATGTATTTTATATTCATAAGTTATCTGAAAATTATATTGTTGATGTGAACACAAACCTTAACTAGAATCTCCGAAAATTTGACTTCATTGTCTGAATAGATGAGCCGATAAAAAAGGACTCAAATTTTTTGTTTGATCTATCTCACAAGAAGGCAGAACCGATTTTAATAAGTTCGTATAACAGTCATATTATGCCAAGACTTGCACAGTGTAATAATTTCGGATTAGCTGGTAAAAATTATCCATCATTTTCTATTAACCCAGTGTAACCCATTTAAACCAAAACATGGTTAACCAGATTGTAAATGAGCTTAAATAAACCATATAAGCTAAACGTTGATGTTATCTGTTATAAAAAGTCAAACTAAGGATAACGAAATACAGATTTCCAATCATTTTTTTAAAGGAAATCCTGAAATTCGATCTAAAAACTTAAATAAAAACCGACAGTTAACAACATTCGTGAAGAAGATATTAGCAAGTAAAAGGGAAAAGGGATTTTGTGGAGATTTTAGTATTTTCATAGTTGAAATCATTAGTCGGTTAAGTGCTCTGGCGCGAGACTGGTAGATCCTGGATTCGAATCTCTCGATGCGGGATCGTGGATACGCACTGACAATAAGGAGTCCCATAATAGGACGAAACGGTCATCCAATGCTTCCAGATTCCACATGGTGGTCTAACTTCAATTGACTCATGATTTCAACAATGAAAATACTGGAATCTCCACAAAACCCTCTTCTGATCTATAATCATATGCTCACTAGGGACAGACTTCAAGAAATATTTCCTGGAGTTCTAGTGAGAAGCAGTTACCAGTGGAGTTCAACCACGTCTGTTGTGAGATATCAACTCACTGAAGACAATTGATGAACGATTGCTCGAAACTTCGTGGACTGGTTAAAGTTAGACATTAACACCGTTGGATACCGGCTCAGTGGTTTATCATTTAAGTGCTCATGTGCGGGACTAGTAGGTCCTGGGTTCGAATCTCGCGAGGTGAGATAGTGGATGTGCACTGACACTGAGGAGTCCCATAATAAGGACGAAACCGTGATCTAATACTTCCAGATTCTACATGGTAGTCTAGCTTCAATTGACTCATGATTTCAACTATGAAATTAAAAAAAAAGATATCATCAAAACAAAAAAAAAAGAAAACATAGATCAAACTTACCTTGGATACTGAACGATAAATTAATATATAAAGTGTAACCACACATAGTATACATAAAATATAACTAAATGTTTGACTTTTTTGTACAATCTGATATAGCACTGTTTCTATCATTGTATGATTTAATTTTAATATTTCTGTACATTCAAATTTTTCATTTTTATAATATGAATTCATTGAATAATTTAATTTCATTGTTAAATTATAATCCCGCGTTATGTTACTATGACGATGATTGTTTATATTTATATCATCTAATTGAATTTGTTCAACACGTACAGTAAATGTTGAACTTAAACCTAATATTGAACATATTAATATTAATATGAATATTACATTTTTAGCTCTATCTCTTGTTAATATATTTTTAAATGGATGACATAAACAAAAATATCTATCAAATGCAATACAACTAATTAATAAACTACTGAATGGTATAAAAGTATTATTTATAAAATAATAAAATTTACATAAAAATGTTGAATCTATATTCCATTCAATATATTCAATAATCATTGTACCAGGTATTAATGTAACACATGCTAATAAATCTGATATAGCTAAGACAAGAATAAATAATGTACCAGTTAAACGATCTTGTTTTAATGAATATACAATAATAACAAGAATATTACCAAAGATACCAATAAAACAAATAATACTTAACATAATTAATACAGTTGGTATTTGATTTGATAAATTAGCTGTCATTAAAGACATGAATAAGGATTGTTTATTTTATGTAAAGGGTTAATGTATGAAGAGTTTGTTTTTGTAATCAAATGGTATTGAATAAATAATTTCAAACGTTCCTCATTTTGTCAGGTAACATTAGACCTTGAAAATCTGAAATGAAAAAAAAAAACAAAAAGAAAAGATTAGCTTTCAGATAGTATTATTATAAGTAGTCACAATTGATTGATCACTGGGTGGTGATCAACTTGATCGATAGCATTCGATCAGCACTAAGAAGGACTTGACACGCATGACATTGATCACCATCCAGTGATCAATCAATTGTGATTACATTTCAGTCTTACAGGAGGTCGGTCGGGGCCCGAATAGGTCAGTGGTAACGTCACTGACTGTGAAGCTGAAAGACACGGGATCGAATCCGACAAGGAGTATCAGTTCCCTCAAGATTATAGGTACACCTTGCTGACGAGTGCCAAGTAGCACGAAACCCGGGTCCAGGGTTACCTGTTGACCACCTCGAAACACCATCTTACCTCTATATTGTTAGTAGTATATAAACCCAATATGTTTGAGAATTATGATTCATATATTACAGAGAATGTTATTGGTGTTCTAGACTTAACTGGTTGGGATAGGCAGAAAGCAGGACTTATAAGTACTTAAGACTGCTCTCACTTAGTAAGAGGGTGAATACAACCGGATTTCCATTGAGAAATTCGTAGACTTATACACATTGGTGATAATAAATAAAATAAACTTCGCTAAATACATTTAAACAAAATACTATGCTCTCAGATTCAATAACAGAAGCATGAAATTAAAACAATGAATTAAGTTTATAGTACTAATGTTATTTCAGAATATTGAATTCAAACGGAACATCATAATGAAGAGTTCAGAAATCAAGTTCAAAACATTATGAATAAACATTAAAATAACAAAGATGGACAGTGGCTAGCAGTGGAATACAGGACTCGCGTTTCGTCCTATTCGGGACTCGTCAGTTGGATGTAACTTCATCTCAGTGTTGATATTCACTCTGGCAATCGAACTCAGTACCTTTCACTTAAAACACCATCGCAACCCAGCCTAAGTTTATACTGAATAACAGAATTAAAAATTAAAGTTCGATGTTATTTTAACTGCTAAAGTTGTCACAAAACTTTAGAAGAGAATATTTTAGATGTATTTCTAAGACTTATTCTTGAAAAGATAAAAAGAATTTAGGATAATGATCAGAGTAAATCTGAAGAATAGTGAACATGAATTGAATGGATTTAAGAACTTCAAACCAATTAAAAAACCAATATCATCAAATCTTTTTCATTTTTCATACGATAAAGCTATCAAGGTTTTCCCGTATGACCAATATCTTCCTATCATTGCATAAATACCTTTTACATTCCGTTAACCTTCATTCGGTTAATTAACTTGCACACTATTATGTTATTTTATGGTATACTGAGTACTGAATTGAACGGTACTGGGGTCAAGTCCCAGGGTGAACATTAACTCGAGGATGCAAGCACATTCAGATGACGTGCCTCAAATAAAGAGAGACTAGCTTGCCACTATCCATCTTTGCTTATATAGTTTGTGAATTAAGGAAATATCGAGGCAGTCCACACAGTGTTTAAGCTCTAATCTTATGAGTTAATAGTGTAAGGATTCACTATCGATTCAACCAATTTTAGTGTTCATTCGTAAATGTTCTTGCCTATATAAATCATATTGAGTTATTTGCACAACATAAGCTATATTATCAACTTACAGGTCAACCAGGACAGATTGGGTTGGAAAATGCTGATCGATGGCCTATGCTTCATTGGGAGTAACAGGCGTATGTAAGTAAGTAAGTAAGTAAGTAAGCAAGCAAGTAAGTAAGTAAGTAAGTAGGGTGAACCACCTTTTCTTTATATAGTTTTATAGAATTTATATTCTTATAAATATTTCTACAAAATGTTAAAACAAAATCTAATACCCTAATGAGTTAGATGCCTAAAGGGAAAAAACTACGTCGCCAACATTCTCTCACTAGTTTTCTTTCAATAAAACTAAATTGATTTGAAAAATGATTTTCTTATTTCATTACTATTTTCATTAACAAACCTTGGTTTCTATCGTCTATTTTTTAATCTTTTTTCCATTGTCAAATTCCCTTTCTTTTTTTCTTTTCTCTCCATCATATATAAAAATTTAATCTGTTCTAGAGAAAGGAAATAATAGATAGATATTTCCTTTCTTCGGAAGAAAAAAAACTATTTTTTTCTCTGCTACGCTGAATATACTACTGAAAAATTACAAATAAAATATAAGTAGGTATTAAATTCACTTAGTATTGATTGTTTGAATCTTCACATTCATGTTTACAGCTGCAACTGGTCAGCCTCTTATTGGCATATGTGTATACTGCGCGTATTGCCTCGATATTGCTTTAATTCACAAGTATTGTAAGCCATACGCAGTCCTAAACATCAATGGGAAGATTCAAACAAACAATACTAAGTGAATTTAAGCTTCACCACATCGCACAAGCAAGTGGCTATCAGGACTCAGTAGCTGAGTGGATAACGTGATGACGTTTGAAGCGAAAGGTACTGGGTTCGAGTCCAAGAGTGAAAATCAACTCTGAGATGCATGTACATCCATCTGACGAGTCCCGAATAGGACAAAACACGCTTTCTGGATTCCACTGCTAGCCAATATCCATCTTTGCTTACAATAAGTAGGTATTATTAAAAAAGGATTAATCTAAGAATTCACCTGTCATTTATCTAGATTGATATAAACACTTAATTTAACTAATCTGAAATTTCACTAATCGGGCATTATTTGAATAACTACATTGTTTAGATGTAGTCATGTTTTTGGTTATACTGTAGTGTGGATTACTTATGTCCACATAAGTAGTATATCGTGATAGTCAGGCATAGAATGTATTTTGGCAGAAGATTGGTAAGGAAAGAACCGAAACGGAACACAATTGGTATGAAAATGCATGAACAGTGAAATCAGAGATGAACTGATATTTACAGAAGGAACGGTCATGATTGAGTAAATTGATTGTTATTTTGCAAATTAACTGTTTACTGTATGGTTGTCAGATTTTAGTTGGATAGTCTCTATTCTTCGTGCCAAATGCACTCGATTAACGCCAATCGTCTTCTTGTTCACTACATTAATACGATGGTTTGTAATGGCTTTCAAAAGATATAGCTTAATAGTTCATTCATTCGTTGATTGCAAAAACTTCTGATCATATTTCCAAACACAAACATGGTTTGAATTTTATCAAAAATACTGTTCATCAACCAAATTAAACGTCAAAATATATGTAGGCTGAGAGGTACACTTTTTTAATTAATAAATATTGGTTAGGAGGTTCGAAAAGCACTCTATATTACTAACATTTAAGTAGTATGGTATCATTACCAACTTATCACTTACAAAATCTACAGCTCAAACTCAAACACTTTATTGTTCAACTATTGTTGACTGCCATTATGAGCGAAGGTGCATTGTTTAATCTATCAAAATTATACTCATGAAGGAATTAATTCATGCTCCTGCGAACATTTTCACATTTATATCACAAACATTAACGTTTCGTACTCTGCAAACATGAGGAAAAAACGCTGAACTAATAGTAATGGATAAGAGGAAAGTCAACCTTAGATAATAACTTTACACAATTTGTACACCATACTTTGTGTGATTATTTAAGATTGATAGCAATATCTATCAAAGTGAAAGAATATTTTCATTTCTGAATGTATCTTCTTTTAAAGATACCTATGATTGAATACCATTGCTTGTTTCTACCCATGAATGCAATGAAATATTAGAACAAACTTGATCACAGACTGGTATATAAATTCCAAATTCATGGTTGAATACCTTAGGACTTATATATTTTGACTAAATTCAAAAATGTTCCCTTTTAGTTATATCCTCAATGTTATGTTGGTTTTTTAAAATTGAAAAAATCCAAAAAGCACGATGAACATGATGGGACCCAGCTGTGATCACATACCATATGAACCAAACCCCAGTTATTCAAATGTTGCATAAAATGTATTAAAGCTAATCGATTAATTCGACATTTCCATATTCGGACAATATGGTTGTCTTTAGGTTAATTACTTTCAAAAGTTTCACAGATAACATCTATTCATTAGAAACTAGAAATTTCGATGTAAATGAATCTTCACAAAAATTTCAACTATATCAAAGATTATAAGCAAAGATGGACAGTGGCTAGCAGTGGAGTCCAGGTCGTACTTTTCGTCCTATTTGGGACTCGTCAGCTGGATGTGCCCACACCCCAGAGTTGATGTTCACTATGGGACTCGAACCCAGTTCCGTTCACTTCAAACGACATCGCGTTATTGACTTAGCTACTGAGCTCTGATAGCCTCTCGCTTGTGCGATGCTTGTGAATTAAGGCTTTATCGAGGCGATACACACATTATGCACATATATCAATAAGAGACTGATCAACTGCAGTCCTAAATATCAACGGGAAGACTCAAGTAAACAATAACAAGTGAATTTATATGGACGATTTATTGGCTTGTTTTATGAGGGTTATAAATAAGTGTGAGGAATAAAATTAGGATTTACAGTTGATGATTAAGGTTACAAATTAGATTTAGGGTTTTCATCACGAACTGACATCAGATATAATGCCAAAACTCTATTTAGCTAAATGGATAAGTGAATTTTGCGCCAAAATCCGAGACCTGTTATCATATACCTGATTGGTTCATCCATAAATTATAGTCTTACCGATTTTTCTTGTTTCTGAAATCCCATAAAGTTTAGTTTACCAATTGTATCTTGATAACATACGGATGTCAAGTAAACAATTACTGTTAATTTTGTGTTGTCATTCTGCTCTAATTATAAATAAATGCTATTCGTAAATTTATCAGTAGTCACAAGTGTTTTCACTGGGATCCACCAGACAATATTAATATATAACTAGCGATCTACAAAAAGGCTAGAAAATAAGAATATAGATGTAAATGTATTCTTTTCATGTTGTTTTGTTTAATCTTGAATCTTTATTTTACTGTATATTCAATTAACTTTCTTATGATGAATACTTCAATACCGATAACATTGTTTTTGACTCATTAACTTTCAAC